GGGAAGGTGTAGCCTGATCAACTACATTATCCGAGGAGTGATTAGCATGTGCCTAAGTATGGTTGTGAGGTTGCAGCAAGTCTAAAAACTTACCAACACTACTACAATGAGAACAGTAGAACAGAACATTAAACTTAAAATACTATAGGAGTATTTTGTGTTACTATTAATTACTTATCTGAGAATTAAAGGTCTTTATTAGTATGTCAATAGTTGTTGAGTGGATACATTACGGTTATATGTGCCTAGGATGTCATAGCCTCAGAATCTGTAATCTTTGCTTTACTTCCTGTCCTTGTTTGGTTGTGGGCTTAAAGTTAGGACTCACTTATTTGAAGGGCTATCATGTTTTGGATTACATATAACTAGTATGCACTAAACAAGTATTGGAGTAACTGATAAATATCATATTATAATTATCTAGTTAACTCGTCTATTAATTATTTCCTTATCCCTTTTCTCGCGTAGATTTATGGCTGGTTTCCACCTTCCCGGAGACCCGTACTTCCCCAACCACGACAATGCAGGATGACTAGGAGAGGAACCAGAAGATGATCACCCAATTCCTTTGGATGATCATGAAGCTGAAGGTTTTTCTGATGGTTCTGACTCGGAGCCAGAAGTCAACAACCAACCCCCATCAGTTCATAACCCAAACCCGCGTCCAACATTTCAAGGACCCACACCTCTGTGGGCCACTAAGGTTTGTGCTTACAGTTTCAGTTTTGATAATCAAGTTGCGTTTTATAAAATCAAAAATGAAATTTTTGGTCTTGAAAATTGGCATGTTACATGCAAACCCAAACCTAAACCTGACCCAATTTCCACCCCAAAATTTTATCGATCTACATATTATATAAATATAAATGTAATTTATCAATTACAAATTGTTTAAATTTGGTGGAAATGATAAAATAAATAAATAATATTTAAATATTAGGAATAGGTAAAAGAAAAAGATAAAAAATATTAGAAATGACGAAAACATCATTTTATGTCGGTCGGGAACCAGCCATGCATGATTTTGAAACCATAAAAATCATTCTCGTCAATATATATATATATATATATATATATATATATATATATATATATATATA